ATTTGTTATTGAAGAAAGTTTAAGTAATGAAATTCAAAACTCACCATATTGGAGTATTTAAATTGATGAAAGCAATATGATTAAACAAGAAAAAATGTTAGCAATTGTATCTAAACATCTATCTGATAACTATCCAGTTGTACGGTTTTTAGGCATTATTCAATTAGATAATGCAGCCGCACAATCATTGTTAATAATATTAATCATTTTTTAATAGTAAAAAAACTTGATATAAGCAATATGTATTATATGGGAAGTGATAGGGCTAATACAATGATTGGTAAATATTTTAAATTATTATAAATCATTATAGATTTTATAATTTACTGCTATAGCGATATATTACTACTTATTGAAATTTGTTATATTATAGTTTCAATATTTAAACTTCATATATAATTAATAATATAGATTACTAATTATATAAAAGTTTGAATATTAGAACTCTAACATCACATAATATAACAATTAATTTTCAAAATTTTAACTTTTAAAGATTTTAACTTTTAGATTCTACTTTCAAAATTTTAACACAAACTTAGAGTAGTAATACATTACTATAACAATAAATTATAAAACCCAATTAGAATAATTAAATAAATTACTTACAAATTAATTTTTTGTAGGCAAAAAAAATGGTGTTGCAACTATTTTTAAAAGCAAAATCCTTTTCTTTTAGAACACCATTGTATTGCTCATAGATTAGCTTTGGCAGCCAAAGATGCTGCTAAAAAAGTTCCTTATTTTGAAAATTATAATTCTATTGTTAATAATTTATATTCTTATTTTAGTTCTTCTTATAAACAAATGATTAATCTTCAATTAGTAGAACAAACAATAGATGATCCAAATTTAGTTCTTCTTCGTATTATTAATACTCAGTGGCTTTCACTAAGCAATGTTGTATCTAACTTACATCGAATTTTAAATTCTATAAAAATAGCATTAAAGGAAAATTCTTCAAAAATGTTATTGCGCAAGGACTTTATAATGCAATAGATCAAACCTTTTATTTAGCTACTAAGGTAAAAGTTATATAATATAATATATATATATATATAATTTTAATTTAGTTATTTTTATTTTTTAGTTTCTTGCTGATATTCTTTATAATTTGCAAAGTTTAACGAATCTTTTTCAAGCAGACTATGTTACTATTTCTGAAGTTTATATGCATTTAAATGCAACTATTAATTCAATTACTACTCAATATATTGGTCGTAATGGAATTCTACCAAACTATGGAAACTTTTTAAGCGAATATATTGATAAACAAAATATATTAATTGAAGATCTTCCTGATTTTATTTTACAATTTGCAGTTGCAACTGTTGAATCTCTTCAAGATCACTTTCCTGATTCTGAAATATTAAATTCACTAAGAATTTTTAATTCATGTAAATTACCATCACAATATAATCAAATTCATTCTTACAGCAATAGTGAGATTTGTTCCTTAGCAAATTTTTATGGAAAACCAAAAAAACTTAATCAAATTGAATATCTAGCACTTATTGATAATAACTCACTAAAGGGGTGTGGCGACCTAGTGAAGTGGTCAGGTCGTCAACTCCCAAGTGGCAGGTCCAGAGTTCAAATCCCAGTGTCGACAGAAAATTTGAAAATTCTCCCTGTGTTACAGTTAACTGTCTCTCGCAATTGGTTGGGATAAGATACCTGTAACCTGTGTCACACCAGCATGAC